TGCCATTAAAATTACTTTGGAATGGAGAAAAAGTTATAGAGTCTTAAAAAAAAAAGTAATGGATCTAGATTTTGCTTTTAAAGGTATTTTTTATTGCTAGAACTGAGGCAGGAGGTCTGATTTAGGATAAGCCAATCTTTCCTTGTCATTGATCCATCAAACTCATCAAAGATAATAGTCCAATACAGCAGTGTTCCACCAAAAAATAATCTCAGTCATTCCATCTGTTTTGTATCCCCAACATCTAGAACAGCGCTTGGTACTAGCAAGTGCTGAGTAAATACCTGTTGAATGAATTAACTATCTCCAAGGGGCCTGTTATTCACTCAAAGTCACCTGGCGGATAACCTAAAAGTCAAGAAAGAAACTACTGGAGAATGTGAATGAGAAAGCACTCTAGGGTGCAAATGCCCATCATGACTGCCAGCAGGTTTCACTAGTAATAGTCCCTGCATCCATAAATGTAAGGATAAGAGGATGGCCCTGGACTCAGACTGTCCAAGTTTAAATCCTGGCACCAACCCTTGCAGCTGTGACCCTGAGCAGGGACTTAGCTTCCCTGGGTCTCACTTTCCACATCTAAACACAAAAAAGGGAGGTAACAGCACTATCCACTGCATCAGATAGCTGAAAGGATGAAATGAGACAAGCCGTTTCTGGGATGGAGAAATGCCTACTAAATATCAGTAATTAATCGTTTTTTCATTTTTATATATACCCACAGTCACATCTCTGGGAAGAACACAGGCTCACAGGTTCACTTCTCCCCACCAAAAGAAACAGCCTTCAATGAAGACTAGGCAATCGAATGCATTCTTTTCCCTGAGGGATTACATGAAAAGGAAAAAAAAATCGGCTCTTAAATCTGGATTTTTTTGACCCCTCTCAATCTTCATCTTTCTTGCCTTTTCTTCCCTCGTCTACATAAAACCTCTCCTGAGCTCCTGGAGGCCTGGCTTAGCCACTGGCACTGCTGGGCTCAGGAGACACTTCTTCACTCTGTTCTGCAATACTGCTGTGGCCCTGGGCAGGACATTTAACCTCGTGGGGCCTCATTTCCATGTCTGTATAACAGAGGAAGAACACCGTGGTGGAGGAGATCATCTTTCAACTCTTCCAAATCTAAAAATCCACAAATACGTAATTGATAACTATTATTAGTACATTTGAGTCAAGCACTGATCTAATTAAACTCTACTAAAAAGTACATTTTAACCATATTTAGAATACCAAACAAATACGGGCACGAGTACAGCAGCCTCTAAAAGCAGATTTTTCCTGGTCTCAGTTTTAGAGAACAACACATGAGCACCCTGAAGCTTTTATTCAACTTCCTTATCACACTGGAAGGAGCTCTTATTAAATCAGAACCACATTCTCTAAGGACAACCTAATGCTCCTTTATTTACTAGCTTCTGGGTACAGACCCTAAGCATTTCTACCAAACCAGTGCTTACAATTTTAAGGTAACTGAGCAGAGAACTAACAGTCTTGAAGCATAAGAATTAATATTCAGCACCAGAGAAGGTGACTAATTAAAAAATCATTTAAAAATCACACTACTTTCTTTGGATCTTTGTGCTACCACACGATTCTCCATCACACTGTATGTTTTTCGAGGAAAAGGGGTCTAATTTAGAACGACATTATAGATTAAGAATTGACATGGGAAGACATTTACAATACACATGTCTAGTGAAAAAGGCAGATTACAAAATAATATGATCAGCAATATTAATCCTATTTTGGTATAAAACATACACATACACCTGCACACATATCTAATAGGATACACTCCAAGTTGTTAATAAGCTTATAATTTTTCTTCAAAAAATTTGTTTGCATATCTGTGTTTTCTTAGTTTTCTACAATGAACACTTAATGGCTTCTGAAACAATGATAATTCAAACAGGTGCTTTATTTAATACAAAAAATGGATCTGGCACCCAAACTGTAACCAAATGCCTCCCTGACGAGGAGCTCAGCACCCAGGGGTTCCCCTGCACGGAGGTGTGACACCCTTTGCACCTTGTGCTAGGGACTAAGCTGGGGTGGAGGTGCTAAGGTACCATCAGGTGGTACCAAGATAGGCCCAGATCTCTCCCTCCTGTTTACCTCAACTTCCAGAGCCATCAGCTTCCCACTTAGTAGCTTTACCGATTTGTAACCCCCTGGGCAGTGTTCACAAAATATAACCCAAAGTCCTAAATTACAGTTCAGGATTTTAACTTTCACATTCACTGATTTAGGAGAATCAATGACAGAAGAGCCTTAAGTTACTCTGGCAGAGATCCAATTTTAAAAGGTGGAGTTAACTAGTACCCCTCCTTTTAGGCTGTCCAATGCCAGTTGCTTCTGATCGCAAGAAGGAAAATAGGCCATTATGTTGAAAAGCATCATTTTTAAATACTTTATCCAGTTAAGCGCTGCTGTTTTTAATACAAAGTGCTGACTCTTGATAGACTCTTTGGCATATTGAAGGCAGCTGCTGTTGAACCTTCCAAGATCTGATCAGCCAAGAACAAGATCATCAGCAGGCACAAGTACCGTAAGGCACATTGCACCGTAAGGCGTGAAGGTTGTTCTGGCAGCTCAGTGATCTACGAGGAAAAAGGTCGACGCCTGCAACTTCCCAGTTAACAAGAGAAAAGCGCCTACAAAAAAGTGATAGGAAGACATACAGCACAGGCAGTAAAGATGAAGACAATATGAGGGGACCGGCCCCGGCCCGGTGGCTTAGCGGTTAAGTGCGTGCGCTCCGCTGCTGGCGGCCCGGGTTCGGATCCCGGGGCGCAGGGAGGCACCGCTTCTCCGGCCATGCTGAGGCCGCGTCCCACATACAGCAACTAAAAGGATGTGCAGCTGTGACATAGAACTATCTACTGGGGCTTTGGAGGGAAAATAAATAAATAAAATCAATTAGAAAGTAATTGCAGAAATTATATATTAAAAAAAAGACAATATGAGGGATAGGAATAGAATGACAGTCTTCAGAAAAGTGTTCTGAGGGACTCCTCCTGAATGAGCCCAGAAGTTTACCAGACCCAGTGCTCTCAGATGCACAGAAGCTACGCCTCAAAGCTGCTCACATGCGTTTCCAATAAGGTGATCACTAGCAAAAGCTATATATTTAAAAACAGACTTTCTCACCCCCTTGGTCCCTTATCTTTTAAAAACCATTCACAATTCAGGTCAGTGTCTTATCCTCTTACAAAATATTTTTAGAGACATATTACAACAAAGAAGCATAGTGTCTACACAGCATTATTTTATTGCAAGCAAACAAAACTGCCAACTATAAGGATCTGAAAAATCTGACCATTTCGAGCTTATTCTGGGGCTGAACCACTCCCCTTCCCTAATTATCCCTCAAAGGAAATATATCAGGAGCTGTGGGCAAAGAGAGAAAACATGTCTAATTACAACATGTGCACTTGGTGGATGAAAAATTTGAACATTCTTGAACTCTGGCCACATTTCAGAGGACTTTCCACTTGTAGTTTAATCACACTGAAAAGTTTAAAGTTCAGTTGTACTTCAACCAGGGCTCAATAAAAAAAAATACAAAGAGAAACGGACCACATTACTTACCCGTGATACTATAAGGGAAGTCTGCTGAAAATTCAAGATGACCCTGACTCCTTATCAAGCATTTACAGAGTAAGCGGTTTTTATTTTAAAATTAAGACCCATTTCAAGAGTACTCTGCAGTGGAGAAAACACACACATTTTGAATTTGAAAATACATGTGCAAAGCCTTCAGGTGGCTTACAGAAGCAGTCCCTGATCAAGACCTTTCATCCACAGCCCATTTGCTGGTGCTTTACCCAGATGGGAAGACACCCTAAAACAACGAGTTTGGTAGTGCTTCTGCACGTTGCTGATTAAAGCACTGGAGAGAGGAGCAGATAAAACCTTCAGGAATCGGAAATGAGAACGCTCTAATTAGGCATTTGGATTGGGAGCTATCGCTCAAGAAGCCCTCAGCATGACCTACAGGTTGGAACCTCTCCCTTCACCCCGTGAGCAGCTTCTGCAGGGCTGGCTTCCTTGATGCTCCTCCAACACTCCAGACTCTTCCCTCAGATCCCAAGCATCCTTCAAGTCTTGGCTCAAACCACCGTTGCAAGGAGGAAAAAGGTGCCTTTTCTTTTCCCACGATACTCATCACCTAATACACCATGTAACTTACTTACATCTATTTCATCTATTATTCACTCCTTTCTCCCTCAAATAAGTTCCAGGAGAGCAGGGATCTTTGTTCACTGATGTATATCCCAAGCGTTTACAACAGTGCCTGGCACAGAGTAGGAGCTCAAAAAATATTTTCTGAATGAATGAATGAACCTGACAGTAAAACTCCGAGAGGAAAGGAAGAGGCGGTGGAAAGGGTGATGGTGAGGGGCTGAAATGAAAGGGGGAAGAAGCGACAGAGGGGAATTCACAAGGGAGAGGTAGAGGCTGGCTGAGGCTGGGCCCGACCCACAGTTTCTCCCTGCAGAGCCGATGGGCGGCGCGCGGCGCTGCGCGGTACCCCGCCAGCGGCATCGAACAGCACTCTTAGAAGCAGGCAGCCGAGACCGGCGAGCTCTGAAGACTCGCTGAGAAACTCCAGGGGCAGGGCAGACCCACCCGGGCGGCGGGCTCTGGGCAGGCCCCCATGGGGGTCCGGACCCCCCAGCCCTTCCCCTCCCGCGGTGCCCAGAACCCCAGCTTCACTCCAACGTGGTCAGCGGCGTCCCCGGCCGCGGCACCTTCCCGGCTCGGGCCCCCTCACCTGGTCGCCAGCGAGCCGGGCCCTGCGCTCCAGCACCTGCCTGCCCGCCCGGGGGTGCCCACCCCGGCCCGCGGGGAGGCCCAGAGCGCCCCTACGGGCCCCACCCGGCCCGGCTCCCCTCCTGCACACGGCCAGGAAGCGCTCGCGGCCCTCCCCGCGGCGGGGAAGGGGCAACCGGCGCCCCTCGCCCCGGCCGCTCCAGCCCGACGCCCGGCCCGCTCACCTCGGGGCGTACGTACGACACGAAGGAGGGCTTGGGCGCCTTGGTGCCGCCGCCACCGCCCACTACCCCTTTCCCCAGCATACCGCCGCTGTGGCAAGCAGCGACGCGCGGGAGCAGAGGGGGCCACTCGGGCTCCGGCAGCGGCGGCGGCCACCAGCACTAGCGGCTGCGGCTCCGCCCATCCCCAGGGCCGCGGCGGCCACGGCGCCGCCCGCATCCGGCTCCGTCGCTGACACCGCTCGCCCCGCCCAGGCCCGTGGCCACGCCCACTACGCGCAGCGGCCGAGAGAGCCGGGAGCCGGCGTCTGGAGGCCACGCCCCCTCCGTTCTCGACAGGCGTGTCTGAGCGGCGGAGACTCGCCCTCGGAGATAGGCTCCACACCACCCTCCTGCCGCAAAGCCCGCCCCCATGCATTCTCTGATTGGCCAGAAGGCGCGGCCAGCCGAGCCCCACGCCAAATCCCCTCTTGAACGAACCCGGACAGATGTTTCCTCTAGCCAATCGAGAGAGCGTTCTCTCCGGACTCCCCAGCGATTGGATAGCAAGAATGTCGCCGTCATCCAGTGATCCTGCGGTCACTAAGTTGTGACCTGTGGTTCACTGCACTCCTCTTCTCTTTCTTTATCGTTTTGTAATAAAACTTCCAAAAGTGTGGTGTATCCAATCTCGCTGTATGAGTTACAAATCCACACAATGACGTTCGGGTTTATTATATTAAATGGAGATACAAATGAGACAAACCAAGTGTTAACAGGGATTTAGGAATAGGTTTGAATGTTTATAAAAGGCCTTATGGACTTCATTTTCCCGAACTGTTGTTTGTTTGTTTCTAACAGAATATCAAAACCCCTAAAAAGATTTTTTATCCACTCTCCCAAGTTATCGATAAAACCTTCGCTTTTAGTGAAGATTGCAAAGACAATTTTTAAAAATTCTTTGTTTAAATTATTTAAACATTTGGCGTCAAGCATTGTGTTAGACGCAGGTGAATAAGACAGGACTCCGCTCTGAAGAAATTCAATCTAGTGGAAAAAACTAAGTATTTGCAGTTAATTTTTTCGGTGTCAGACACTGTGCTAAGCATTAGCTTCATCAGTGACTAATGCTCTCACTGTCTCCATTTCCATGAGCCCCACCACCCAAAGTCACTCCAGATAAACATAAAATCTAAATGAAAACAAATGTGCTTACTTTTGCAACCACAGCTTCAGGACAAGTCCTGTAGCCTCATTTCTAACTAGACTGCCATCGTTAAGCCTATCTAGCATAGCCGCGCTGGAGCTGCCACTGAGTGAATCCCAGTTTTCAGGTCAGAAAACAGATGCAAGGAATTTGCCCGGGTCTCACAGCCAGTCACTGACAGAGCTGGGATTCCAGCCCAAGTTTGTCTGATTCCAAAGCTGAAGTTCTTAACATTATAATTATACAAATTAGGAAGGAGCACAATGAAAAAGTGGTCAATTCTATTTGGGAAGGCCAAGTCAAGCTTCAGAAAGATAGACACTCCTTACAGAGGTGTTGAAGAACGAAGTTATTTGTCGGGACTAATAATATCACCTTATATTTAACAGCAATTTTACTTTTCAAAGTGAAATGGCAGGGCAGATTCTTATAGTCTGAGCAAATTTTTACTTTCTTACTTTTCAAAGGACTTTGAATTTCCATGATCTTCCGCCATAGGCAGTATATGAGAGTGGATACCTCTGGCCAGGGCTGGCTTCTCAGGCATGCAGCTAGAGCAGTCACGGAGGGCCCGTACTGAGAAGGGCTTAGGGTTTAATGCTCTGCTGTCGCAGCCTTGAAAATCTTAATCATTTTATCTTTGAATTTGTGTTTTTTAAGTGAAGTTTGAGGGGCTGATGGAGCAAGCCCAGGGGTCTTGGAGCCTCAGCTCCTGCCAGTCTCACCTCCCATCCTCTCCCCACCTCCTCTCAGGTGCCCAGTCCCCTGGCACCCTGGTCCTCCCCAGCAAATCCCAGGACTGCGGCCAGCCTCTGTCGGGGCAGCTAACTGTGCCTCATTGCTGGGAAGGGGTGAGGGCAAGTCTCATATTCTGCCATCGCCATCCACCCTTTGCCCCCATGGGTGCCTGGGCACTGACTAGGAGATGATCAGAGTCAGGCACAGCCCCCCAACCCCTTCCTGTGTCTCTGGGTAGGGTAGGCAGCCATCCCTACCCTAGGCTGGCAGCGCCATGGCAACTAGCCAAGGCCTCTTGTCCACCCCTGTGCAAATATCGAATGTGGCCAGGTGCAGAGGCTCCAATCCCTTGGGGGACGCCCATTCACTGTGGGAAGGGGATTTGACTTCCCTGCCCCCAGCCAGGACCCCACATTTTCATTTTGCACTGGGCCCTGCAAATTATGTAGCCATCCCTGCCTATGCCCTTTATTATCTCTGTGTGCTTGAGCAAGTTACTTCATCTCTCTGTGCCTCTGTTTGTATCTAGGATGATAGTAATAGCAATAATAATTATCTCAAGGTGGGTGGGGATTGCTATGAAGAGTAAATGTCATCCAGGTGATGCCTGGTAAGGAGCAAGAAATAAATAGGTGATGGCTGTCCTTAGTACAATCCCACCAAGCAGGACATAATTTACCCCTTTTGGGGACTATAGAAAGAGAAGCAAAGTGACTTCTCCCAATAACCAGCTGAGGGACTTTGTTTAACAAAGAGGTTTTTTTTTCTTTGCTTATTTGTTTTTGTTTTTAACTTCTGGCCCAATCCTTGGACTAGAAATAATGGCTTTTATTTATAATTCACCACACCAAATTTCCCTCTCTTCAAACCATCCTGTATTATAATAATTACTTTATCCTGCTCTTCAGCATCCATTTGTGGTTAAGTTGGTTTGCATTGCGGTGATTCTGGAAACTTGACACAACCACTGCATCCATACACTCTCAGAAAACTCTGGCAAGGAAGTGAGACAGGTTTTTAAAGACTGAATGGCCAGCTGCTTCCAGGGGCAGTTTTGACTCAGTGATGAAAATCCACACTTTCAGGCCGGCCCCGTGGCTTAGCAGTTAAGTGCGCTCGCTCCGCTGCTGGCGGCCCGGGTTCAGATCCCGGGCGCGCACTGACGCACCGCTTCTCCGGCCATGCTGAGGCCGCATCCCACATACAGCAACTAGAAGGATGTGCAGCTATGACATACAACAATCTACTGGGGCTTTGGGGGGAAAAAATAAATAAATAAAATCTTTAAAAAAGAAAATCCACACTTTCTTTAAGGAGCAGTAAGGAATGAGGACGAAGAATAAGCTAACATCTGTTTCTATCTTGCTCTTAAGAATCTCCAGCTATCATCATATTTTTACTTGATCTTCAGAGTGTAGGTCAAATCTCCTTGGGAGAGTCTCTCCCAACTGATTGAAAAATTCCTGTCATGCTGAGGTCAAATAATTCTCCATCTATTAATAAACACAGATGGTAGCCCTTAGACTTTGGAATATTTTAATTTACACATAATAGTTTTAAGGTCACTCCTTTCTTCTAACATCGCCCTATGCTTTCTTGGAGAATTATAAATAGGAACAAATCTTAGCTCACACAGAAATGAGTGCCAGACCAAAGGCAGCGTCGTTTCCTCCCACAGACAACTGAAACCCACAGCACACTCCCAGATGGGGGAAGCATTGTCCTCGTGCAGATAGTTAAGCCTAGCTATTTAGATTTCCTCCTCTTTGAAGTCGCTTGAAGCAGCCTACTTGTACGCGTTGCTCATCTCGTTGTTTTTTTGGTGAGGAAGATTGTCCCTGAGCTAACATCTGTGTCAATCTTCCTCTGCTTTGCATGTGGGATGCCACCACAGCATGGCTTGACGAGCAGTGTGTAGGTCCACACCCGGGATCTGAACCCATGAACCCCAGCCATTGAAGTGGAGTGTGTGAACTTAACCACTATGGCACCGGGCCAGGCCCCATGTGTTGCTCATCTTTATCTAATAGATGCCAGGTGCATAGTAGGAATTCAATAAATATTTGCACCTGAATGAATGGGGATTAAATGAAAAGCAGCCTGGGCATCGATTGATTAGTAAGCAGGAGAAGCATCCAGGTTAGAGCCTGCACTTTTTTTTGTGTGTGTGTGATGAAGATTAGCCCTGAGCTAACATCTGCCAATCCTCCTCTTTTTGCTGAGGAAGACTGGCCCTGGGCTAACATCCGTGTCCATCTTCCTCTACTTTATATGGGATGCCACCACAGCATGGCCTGACAAGCAGTGCATGGGTGTGTGCCCGGGATCTGAACCCGGGCCACCAGCAGTGGAGCACACGCACTTAACTGCTATGCCACGGGGTGGCCCTAGAGCCTGCACTTTTACATCACTCAGATACAAAGCAGGACCTGATTTGAAAATGAATAAATAATATGTATAATATATTATATAATAATAATAAATATAATTATATAAACATATATATGAAATATTCAAGGACTAAAATGCAAGTGTTATTTAATGGCCACTTGCCAAACCTCAATTTTAGCAAATGGTCCAGATCTGAAGACTTAGCCCTCTTCTTTCACTAGAAATAGAAAATTTCTTAGCCTCTTGCTGCAACTGTGGGTCTTTCAACCCTCCTCTGAGGATGGTGAGGACTAGACCTGGATTAAGAAGCACTTGGATTGTTCTCAATCTTGTGGTGCCACAGTATGAGGGCCTGCTGGGGAGACTCAGTGATTGTAAACAAGGGCTTCCTGGTGGGTTTTTGTTTTTGTTTTTGTTTTCACAAAACACACAACCTAAGATGGTCACATGGTGGGGGGCTTGATGAGCCTACTCTGTCACCTGTATTGTCTTCTTCAAAACACAAGGTAGGGCCGGCCCTGTGGCTTAGCGGTTAAGCGCGCGTGCTCCGCTACTGGTGGCCCGGGTTCGGATCCTGGGCGCACACCGATGCCCCACTTCTCCGGCCATGCTGAGGCCGTGTCCCACATATAGCAACTAGAAGGATGTGCAACTATGACATATAACTATCTCCTGGGGCTTTGGGGAAAAAAAAGGAGGAGGATTGGCAATAGATGTTAGCTCAGAGCCGGTCTTCCTCAGCAAAAAGAGGAGGATTAGCATGGATGTTAGCTCAGGGCTGATCTTCCTCAAAAAACAAAAAAACCCACAAGGTAATGGCCTGATTGGTTTATTCATTAAATAAAGGTTTACCAATGGTCTGCTGTGACTCATCTCTCCCAGTAAGACT